ATATATATATATATATATATATATATATATATATATATATATATACACACAACAAGCAATATAAAGTGATAAATGTCAAAATATAATAAGCAAAAAGACTATATGTCAAGTCACACGTGTTATCACTCACGTGATTGGCTTACAGGGCACATATGACTAGCAAGTACTACCTAGCATAAGCGGCATAGTACCCTTGAAAACTTAATGATTTGAATTTTTTTGCTTCATTTTTTAAGCCATTTGGAGTCTATAAATACCCCACTCATGCTTGCTTGGTGAAAGCTTGAAAACCTTGTGATTTGAAGTGTGCAAATTGTTTTGAAAAGTGTTGAGTCTCTACCTCCTTAAGTTTAGAGGTCATTCTAAGGGAGGTGTGAGGTTTTCTTATAAAAGAGAGATATGAATGTTCTCTCATAAACCTGTGAAAAGGAGGAGTTATAGAAAGGGTAGTTAATCTTTGCCCACTGAAAAGAAAATTGGTAGTGAAATTCGATGACCTCGAAGAAAGAGGAATTAAAAGTGAACATAGGTTGGGATGACCGAACTCTAGTTCGCATTTCACTTTATAATTTTTTTTATTATTACTAACTAATTTAGTTGTTCACTATCCTTACTCACATTATAAGTTAAACGTATTTCTGATATATATTTTTAACTAACAAATTTTTCAAATTGAAACTTTATTTCAAAAGCACACCCCGACCCCTTAATCCCTTTATGATCCAAAATAACACATTTCAAAATTTTGATTGATTAAATAAATGTTATGTAAAGATAGCAATAATAAGTCATAAGTAAAAGATAAGTAAAAATAGGTAAATCAATTTATAATGGTTTGATCTTTCCGATCTACATTCACACCAGATTCCTTTTCCCTCAAGGCCATTAGTTTTTACTGTTGATCTTCTTTCACATACTATCTTTATTATAACTTTCTCATTTTTCAAGCTTCGGAGATAACCTTCATACTTACTTTTAGATCTCTCACCTTTTATAAGTTCATAGTATAACTAAACTCAAAAGGAAGAGTAGACTCAAACTATACTCAAAATAAGATCTTGCAACACTTTACTATCTCAAGAATAAATGCTTCATCAATCAAGTCTAAGTAGGATATTTATAAACTCCTAAAGGCTTTAAAATTAAAATTAAAAATTTTAATTTTTAAAATTTTGGGATACGAATGGTGGTACAATCATGACCCTAGATAGTACCATTATAAATTTTGATAAGAGCCATAAATTTGGACTTTGATATTTTCATAATCATAAAATTTAAATTCTAGATTGTATCACCGTAACCCAATATGATATTACTATCATCATAAATGGTACAAAACTTTGATAGAGCACAAACGATGTTAGGTGACTCAGGTGGTACCGCTTGGTTTGGCCTTCTAATGAGCTTACTTTAATCATGCTTCAAGCATAATGACTTTAATGATAAATTAACTTTATTTTGATCTAATACTAGCTTAAAATGACTTCAATCAAGATGTTGACAAATCAACCATTCATTTAACTCATTTTCGAAACTTTCAACATGGTGTTCACTTTCGACATATTATTTGATATACTTAGTTTGAACGTTCAACATATCGTCTTATCTTTAACATATTATCCTTAGCAATATTGTCTAATCTTCTGACATATTGATATTAATTTCATCATCACATCTAATTTTTTCACAATACATTTGATATTTTTGACATAATGATTAAAACTTTGACATAATTTTTTTTTTTTGACACATGGACCTAGATGATTGCTCAAATGTCTAGTTCAATACTGATAATTCAGTTGTATTTTACATAGAGGAGGTGATTAGATTAATTTTGCTAGGTTTGGTGTTAAGGTGAACCATTATATGTTCTGGTTTTAAATCCGACTAGATAGAATCCAACTCGAACATGTAGTTGTTTTTATCTCAATCCGATTAATGAATACCTACATCTGATGGACTCCAATTTCTCAAAGAAATTTGACTCGATCAATCCCACTAATATAACTGATTTAAGTGGGTTGGACAGATATAAATATACTTAAAACGAAAAAAGCCCCACATGCCCCACCAACAAAACCTTATCATAAAGATAAAAACATATTTTACTATGTACCTGTACCTACCTTATAATTGGAGTCGGCTGTGGCCCCTTACCAGGCATTTTACTCGATATTATTCAGAAAATAAATACTATTTTATATGCTTGGAAATAACAAATTTATCCTCTCTCACACACACACACACACACACACACATTTTTACTTGAGTGTGGGTGACGTTAAATTACACAGTTTAATTTCTGTTAATTCAAAGAAAGAAATATTTAACATATTTTTAAAAATTGAGTGTGTGGAATGATATCGAATATTCTTCCACATATAAACTAAAACCACCGTCGTTACCGTCACCCGAACACACACCCACATCGGGAGGGACTGCTTTACCCCAATCCTCGTCGCATCCAGCACTCGCCCCACTGCCCTTCCGGACGCCGGAGATGCCTGCGTCGGCGGCGAATAACCGGCCGGAAGATCTGACCGCTCGGCTGGGCGTGGGCGCCGGCGCCGCGCAGGGGGAGGCGCTGCTCAAGGCCCTCCGCGAGGTCAAGAACCAGATCATCGGCAACAAGACCAAGAAGCTCCTCTACCTCCACCTCGGCGCCGTCCCCAAGATTGTCTCCGTCCTCGCCGCCGCCGCCGCCTCCTCCTCCTCCGACTCTGGCGGGATCAGCCGCGGCGGTGATGCTGCCGTTATCGTTCAAGCCGCCGCCGCCATCGGCAGCTTCGCATGTGGGGTTGAGGACGGGGTTCGCGCCGTCCTCGATGCAGGCGCTGTGCCCCACCTCACCAGCATCCTTTCCCACGACGATGAGAAGGTATACAATGGATTGGCCACCAATTCACAAATCTTATTAGCCACACAACCTTGTGAGCGTCACAAAATCCCTTCCTTTTCTACTTTTGACATCGAAGCCCTGACGGTACCTGTTCGTACTTGGTTACCTGAAGCCTATGTAGACAACTATGGATGAAATCTGTCATCTTAGCAGGAATTCACCCAAAATTTGGAATCCTCCGAGGTGCCCCATCGGTTGTTGAATCTGAACAACCATATGTTGAGCTTGTCTCACCACTGTTGGGCTTTGATAGTTCACACCTACTTGCCATCAAATTGGCAGCTTCAACTTCTTCTTTCAATCACTAGCGGCCATGCCACCGCTCTACAGAATTGGAGCTCATGTATGATTTTGGATTCCTGGCATCACAGCTTTAAAGAATCTTACCGATGTTATTCTGAAAGCTATCCTCGAAACTGTTTATGATTTGAGAAGCAAAATTTCAGTTATTTATCCAAATTGCTTACCACCATATGATTGGGTCTGTTCTTTACAGGTAGTGGATGCGGGTGCTCGTTCTCTTAAAATGATATTCCAATCTGAGCTTGCCCCAAAGTATGATGTTCTTCAAGAGAAGAACTTGAATTTTATACTTTCACTCTTAGACAGTGACAATGAAAATGTTACTGAACTTGCTGCCAGTATCATAGCACACTCTTGTGAGACAAACGAACAGCAGAAGGCACTGTGTGATGCTGGGGTCTTGCTCAGATTTGTCAGTCTACTTGGTGGATCTTCAAACCAAAAGGATGGTTGTTTAGAATCTATAGCAGCAGTTATAAAAAATAACCCTGAAGTTTCTTCTAGGTTTTCTTGCACTGGCAATGGCAAAGCTTTGAATGCATTGGCAAACTTGATACAGGACCGGTATCCTCATACAAGATTACTTGCCTGTAAATGTTTGATTGCTGTTGGGCATGCCTCACCTTGTTACGTGGAAGAGTTACAAATCAAAACTAAGTTAGTGTTAGTATTAGTTGAGCTTCTTGAAGAACCTGGTCGAGTTGGAAATGAGGCTCCATTCTCATTGAAAACTCTAATTGCAGATGATGAGGAGTTACATAAGCAGGCACTTTCTGTTAATGCTATTGAGAAGCTCTGCAGCATTCTGCAGATGAGCTCGGTACAGGCAAGGCGCCTCCAGGGAATATTGCTTGCTCTGGCTGAGCTTTGTTCAAAGTTAGAGAAGTGCAGATGTCAGCTTATGTCACCTCAGGTTCTTTTCCTGCACTGAAATTTAGGATCTGCTTCTACATAAATATTACATATTTGTCTAATGAGCTTCTGTCACACTAATATCCAAATACATTCAAGATTTATGTGTACCATATAGTTGTGAATGGTTTTAGACTAAAAATCATTTGCTGGTTCAGGTTTTGCTTTTCTATCTTGAGTATCTTATGACCAGATACCCTAGAGAACACACAAATGGTCTCCCATGCTTTCATCACCAGTTTTTGTAATTATCATTCACTGAGCAAATGTCTATCATTCTCCATGTAGAGCAATGATTGTATGGGATGTCTTCTATCCAGTTGATCAAATGCTGCTCACATCTGTTTGTTATTCGACTGTCTTATAACACAATTTGTTACTTCTGAGATTCTTTTCTCACTTTTTAGCTTTCTTCTAGCCATGGAGCTTGACTGCGCCCATGGAGCTTGACTGCACCTATGAGTTGGTTTTCAGTGAATATACAGCCTAACAGAGTTTGATTGAGATGATTTCAAAAACCATGGCTTCATGCATCCATGCTTTGTCACCTCTGCCATGGAGTGGTATGAACCAGCTAATATTCTCAAATAGAAACAGCATCTTAACTTAATCCTTGGTCCATTTTGTCTGTCAAATGGGCTAAATGTTCTGTATGCCTGTGGAGATAGGTCATCTCTGCCTCTGGATCAACCATTCAATGGTGAATTTTTATCCTTCTTGTATCTACAGAATAATTTAAATATATGGAAGTTGAATTTCTTGTTAACTAAATTACAGGATAATTGGGTTTTTTTAAACCACCTGATTTGCTTTTCCCTATCCACTTGCTTATGAAGGTCTATTGGTTAGCGTTATTCGACTAGTTGTTTGATTGACTCATGAATCTTGCGCATGCCACTAGCTTGTCCTTCCTTTCCTTATTCCAAGTTGCACTAGTTCACTATACCTTATTCCATGTTCTTACATTCTATGAGAGTAAGTGGTGCAATACTAGAGAAAAATTTTCAAAACTCTACGTTACTTGATGTTGTAAGAGAAATATTATATCACGGATTTTACAACTCTGCCTTGATATGTCTATGCAGGTGCTGAATTTAATTGTTGATGCACTGAAACATGATTGTATGGATGTTCGTGTTGCTGCATGTGATTGTATAAGGAACATCACTCGGTCTCTGAAGGTTCTGAATCTTTAAAATATATATATTTCCATTTAAACATTTTATGGTTTTATTGACAGGTCTGGTTGTTTACAGAACCTAAGTGCAGGATGTCTTTCCAGTGAGGCATTTATTGTTCGTTTGGTCCAGCTTTCGCATGATCCATCAACATCTGTGCAGGTGAATATGCCCACATAGGGACTAAATTTAATTTTTTATTTCCAAGTAAGTCTATAGGTTTTTTATGTTTATTATACCAAAATCTTCTAAAATATAACCTTTCATAAGGTTCACTGTATTGAACATAAATGGCCATTATAACCTTAGGCAGTTAATTTTCATCAATGCATAACTTGTTAAATTTAGATAAGGATTAGCATTATTATTTCAAATTTTAAGGACTTGTATGCAAATATGTGATGGTCATGAAGATTATGACAAGTAATACATAAAATTCTAAGAAAATTATGATAAGAATGAGATGAGACAAAAGAATGTAAAAGGAATAAATAAGAAAAGAGGGTTCATTAATACGAAAGAAAATAAAAAAGGGTGGACCCATCGTATGAGTCTCTCGCCAATGTGGGGTCTAGGGAAGGTCAATGTAAAAATCCTTGCCTTTAAATATTTAAAGAGGTTGTTTTCGAGACTTGAACCTAGGTCCTGGGTTACAAATGAACAAACTTACCATTGTGCTAACCTTATTGGTTCATTAAGACAAAAGAAAATAAAAGAGAGAAATAGGAAGGGAGTGCTAACTAAGATGAAATAAAGTAAAAGAGAGACATTGGAAGAGAGGGTTCATTGAGATAAAATAAAGCAAAAAAGAGAAACAATAAGGGATGCTTCATCGTCATCGGATGGTGCACGATTCTAAAGTAGGGTGTTGCTTGTACAAGAACTAATTAATTTTATTCTTATTGGACTCGTGTTTAAAGAAAAATGAATGAACGATTGCACTTGCCTCAACTAAGGTGATATATTACAAACACACATAAAAAGATAAAAAGAAAAATCTCTAGCCTACCTACAAATCTTTTTTTTCTTCCTCTAATCTTGTTGTGATGCTAATAGGTCTTTTTTTTTTTTTCCTTATTCGGTTGGCAGAGATAATAGCAAGTCTTGTGGTGCTCGTCTGTTAGTGGTAGCAGGAGATGTAAAGACAACTTTTGATGGTTTTGTGGACATTGATTGTAAATCTATTGCAGACTACACAATCACTTGGCATTGAAACAATCATGACTCGACCTAATAGAATAACTGACCTGTTAACTTCATCGTGTTTGAACCACTGACCCAAATTGTTTAAGCCAATCAAACTCTTAAAAGTCAATTTTGATCTTAGTCCACTTTCGATGTGAGATTTGTTCGAATCGTACTGACAATAAGACGGAAAGGGGGGGGGAGGGGGGGATGAATTAGTGCTATAGAAAATTTTATCCGATTTTAAAATTTGATTGATAAATCCGTAACAGAAATGCGATTAATAAAAAGTACGAGTAAGGGTTACGAGTAAAGTAAATGAGTAAGCAATAACAAATCAAAAGTAAGAGAAGGAATGCAAACCGATTTATAGTGGTTCAGTCTTCCCGACCTATGTCTACTCTCGATTTCTCTTCCCTTGAGGCCATTAGCTTTCACTACCGATCTTCTTTCCTACGGACGAATATCAACTACCCTTGTTATAACTCTTCTCCTTTTAACAGGCTTAGGAGTGAATATCCACACTCTCCTTTTAACAGGCTTATGATTACTTATATAGTCCCTAATAAAATGATGTCTAATATCAATATGCTCGGTTTGTGAATGTTGAATAGGATTCTTTGATAAACAAATTGCACTAATATTGTCACACTTTATAGGAATGTTTTTCAGGGAAAGTCTATAATTTTCTGAAGTGTTTTTCATCCAAATTACCTGCGCACAACATGCACCTGCCGCAACATATTCAACTTCGGCTGTGGATAATACGATAGAGTTTTGTTTCTTGGAAGACTAAGAAACAAGTGCATGACATAGGAACTGACAAGTTCCAGAGATACTTTTTTTATCTATTCTATGTCCTATAAAGTCAACATCAGCATTAACAATCAAATCAAAATTTTTAGATTTAGGATACCATAACCCTAGATTAAGGAGTTCCTTTTAGGTATCCAAGATTCTTTTAACTGCTTTATAATGAGATTGTTTAGGATTGGACTGGAATCTTGCACAAAATCCAACACTAAACAATATATCAGGTCTAGTTGCAGTAAGGTATAATAAACTTCCTATCATACCTCTGTAAGTCTTTTGATCAAAGTATTCTCCTTTATTGTCCACATCTAATTTAGTAGAAGTACTTATTGGTGTGTTAATAACCTTAGCACTATCCATGTGAAACTGTTTTAATAGATCTAAAGTATACTTGGTTTGACTAATGAAAATTTCATCATTTAGTTGCTTAATTTGTAATCCTAAGAAAAATGTCAATTCACCTTTCAAACTCATTTTAAATTCTTGGCTCATATTCTTAGCAAGCAATTCACATAAAGATTCATTTGTAGAACCAAAAATAATGTCATCAATATAAATTTGAAGAATAAGAAAATTATTTTTGAAATGTTTAATACAGGGTCTGTCGTACGTACCGGTCCGACAGGTTGTCGGTACGCGGACCGACTGTTACCGGTCCGAGAGTACTGTATCACTGTGCTACAGTACTCGGTACACCTGGGTGTACCGCTCGGTATACCGTACCGTACCGGTACTGAGCCCAGATCGAAATACCGGTACGGTACGGTATTGCGAACCTTGGTTTAATAAATAGTGTGGTACCGACCTTACCTTTTGAAAATTTATTTTGAATAAGAAAGGAGTTAAGTTTCTTATACCAAGCTCTAGAGGCTTGCTTCAACCTATAAAGAGCTTTAGATAATTTATAAACATAGTTTGGAAAAAGATTATCTTCAAATCCAAGTGCTTGCTCAACAAAAATTTTTTTGAAAATAAAACCATTAAGAAAAATACTTTTGATGTCCATTTGAAATAATTTAAAATTTTTAAAATATGTATGGGCAAGGAGTATCCTTATGGCTTCAAGTCTAACCATAGGAGCGAAGGTTTATTCATAATCTATATCTTCTTCTTGGTTGAAACCTTTGGCTACTAATGTAACCTTATTTCAAATCACGACATCTTGTTCATCTTGCTTATTCCTAAAGTTTCATTTAATGCCAATCATAAGATGATCACTAGGTCTAGTAATAAGCGTCCAAACTTTCTTTTTTTCAAATTGATTTAATTCTTTATGCATTGTCGAGACTCATGAGTTATCTTTTAGAGCATCATCAATGCATTTAGGCTTAATTTGAGATAAAAACATAGCATTTACATAAATCATAAAATTTATAAAAATAATGAGTTTTAAATTCATCGCTATGATCTTTACGAATAAAGGAAATCATAAAATCTTATTCATTTTGAGCTTGTTTACAAAATTTGATAAAATATTTAAAACAATCATTTTTATGTGCTAAGAAGTATGTCCAAGTATATCTATTATAATCATCAACAATCACAAAAACGTATTTGCTATCTCTTAGGCTTATGATATCAATAAGTCCAAATAAATCCATGTGAATTAGTTGTAATGGTCTAGAGGTACTTGGTTTTTAGGTTTGAAGCTACTCTTTATTTGTTTTTCTAATTGACACACATCATAAATTTTATCTTTGATAAATTTAATTTTAGGCATTTCTCTTACAAGTTCTTCAATTCTAATTTGTGATATTAATTTTATACTAGCATGCCTAGTCTTCTATGTCAAAGCCATACATTATCATTCAAAATCGAAAAACAAATAAACATTATCACTTCTTAAAGCAATCATAGATTTATTTTTATATGGTATTTCTATGATGTAAGCATGAGATTCAAATTTAACATTATATCCCTTATCACAAAGTTGACTAATGCTTATTAAGTTATGTTTCAAACCATCTACTAAAAGCACTTCTTCAATCAAGAGATATGATTTGTTACCAATATTTCTAATGTCAATGATTTTTCCTTGTTGTCTCCGAAGGTAACATATCCTTCGTCTCAGTTGGTGAACTTTGAGAAGTGTGTTTGATCTTCGATCATGTGTCTTGAGCATCCACTATCAAGATACCGTCTTTTTCTCTTAGCTCTTATTTGGAGACATACCTACAAGAAAAAGAGGTTTGCTTTGGGTACCCATTTAACTATGGGTCCTTCATGGTTAGATCTACTTTTCTTGACTTTTGGCATCAAATCACTTATAGTTCCATTAGGAACCCAACTTAATTTATGAGAATTATATTTTTTAAGAGAACATGTGTAAGCATAATAACTAAATTTTCTAAAAAATTACATTTAACTTTAGGAGGAATATGTAGTATGGGTTCTTTTACAAATTTTGTTGGCTTTTGATGAGTGTTACTGCTCACGAAACCAATTCCTTCTTTTCTTAATACACAGCCTTGGTTAGCAAGAATAATGTTCAGTGACTTATTTCTAATTTTAAATTTTTTTAATGTTTGTTATAATAACATATTTTTCTTTTTAAGTGAATTTAACTCTTCATATTTAGTGCAATATGTTGATATATAGTTGCTATACTTATTTTTCAATTTATCAAATTTATTAGTGAGAGAGGTATGATTCTTTTTTAACAAATTAAATTTTTTACCTATCTTTTTAAGTTCATTATATAAATCATGAAATGCATCAAGTAATTATCATATGATAAAGATGTTTCAGAAGAGTCAATTACCTCATCGTTGAAGGCCATTATGGCATGGTTTGTCACTTCTTCGTCATTAATTTGCTCTTCAACCTCTGACTCACTTGATTCATTCCACTTTGCTTTGAGTGTTCTTTTCTTCTTTTGGTTTGACGACTTCTTTTTTAGTTGTGGACACTCATTTTTGAAGTGTCCTAGCTCTTTGCACTCATAGCATATGACTGTATCTTTCTTGGGTTCACGTTTATTCTTACCTTCTCGTCTTGAAGGATTTGTCTTGTTTCTCCTTATGAACTTTTTGAATCTTTTTGTAAGGAGTGTTATGTCGTCATCATCATCACTTGAGCTTTCGTTCGAGTAGTTTTCTATGGTTTTTAGGACAATATCCTTCCTTTTTTGGAAGGTTTTCCTCTTCTTCATCATGTACTTTACA